CAAAAGGGGGGGGGGGGGGGATACATCGGTTGTGTATGCAAGAAATACGTGTCCACCTGCTAGAAATCCAGTGCGTTCCTAACTTCCTGTAGTGGGCTGACAACAACAGCGGCTTTGTAGCACTAGAATCTCATGCGGCATTGTCAGCCCTGCCTGTTACACTGCAGAATGCCCCCCTCTGGCCCTCTATACATGCATACATTCATTTCTTTCCCAGCAGAATAATGCTGCTCCCAAGAGCCTGCCCACACATTGTACATATGTAACTAGCTCTTGGGAGATGTAGTTCTGGGGGGTGTGCGTATGTCAGCAGGAACTGACCTCCCAGCGGCTGCAGGAACTGGTGCCTGGCGATGATGTCAAAGGGAGTAATAAAAGCTGCTTCTCGCTACAGGAACAAGGTAAAGAAAAAATAAATGATGCTGGGACATGAAATAGAGGGGGAGAGGGAGGTTTGGGGTTAAATTTCAGTAATTCCAGAGCATGCCCTTTAAGCCTTCCTCCGCCCACTTTTCTTGGAGTCCATTGAGGGTCACAGGAATACAAATACTGTTGCATTATAATGCTGCATGCAGGAGGAGTGGAGACTGGTCTTCTTCCAAGCATGTCTTACCAATGGGTGGGACCTAAGCCCCTCAATGGACTCCAAGAAGAGGACTCACTACGGTGAGTACAAAAATCCTATTTTCTTTTCGTCAATGAGGGGCATAGGCATTCAGATACTGTTGGGACGTCCAAAAGCAATCCACCTGGGCAACAGAGCAACAACTGCTGGGAAGCCCTACAAAGATCTAGAGACTGCCTGAGGCCCATGAGCCACCTGATGGACCAACTCCTGAATCTAAATCCGAATGAGGTGGAGCCCTCCCACCAGAAAGGAAAACCTGCCAACAGGACTAGAGGGTAGGCACGGAGAATAAACCTGTTGTTTAAGACCTAGACAGGAAGGTCACCCCCAGAGGAAAGCTACTCCACATGGAGGGAACACCAAACCTGAAGCAGTGAGAGGATCAACCCAAAACGGGTGAAACCATAAGAAGTTCCCATGTGGGAGAACAGGACACGCAGCCTGGTGTGGTCAACAAGAAAATGGAGTCAAGCTCCTATATCACGTACCTGAGGCAGAGACCGCAAGACGAGGAGGCTTCTCTTGCGGCTCGTGTCCTGCAACCCCTGGGGGTGGAAACAGAACGCTGCAGGACAGCGAGGAGCACGAGTGCCACGGATGGAAACAGACACCGTGCAGGAGACGTCTGGTAGCGAAGTCAGCCGGCCAAAGGTCACAACTGGGTGGGCAGCGTGGGGAACAGATTCAGAA